TTCTAACTTAGGCTGGGCGTAGTGGCTTATGCCTGTAATCCAAGCACTTTGGAGGCCAAGGTGGGTGGATCACCTGAGGTCAGGAGTTCAAGACCAGCCTGACCAACATGGTGAAACCCCATCTTTAAAAAAAAAAAAAAAAAAAAAAATTCTAACTTCACATTTTACTGACTGTAATCTTGGACAAGTTATTTAACTCCTATGTACCTCTGTTTCCACATGTGTAAAATGAGGATAATGGTACTAACTATAGATGTAGTAAATTATTCACATAAAATCATAGAATAGTGTCTGGCTCATAGTAAGCATTATATACGTTAGCTACTATATTTGCAGCATTTTTGGAAAAAGTAAGATAATTGGAAACTACCTATATGTCTGTGTTTTGGAGAAATTGATAAAATGCATCATTGTCATACAGTTGAATACTATGTAATCATTAAGAGGATTTAGATCTATTATAACATGAACAGATCTCAGAAACAATGTTGAGTTAAAAAAGGCAAAGTAGGCCGGGCATGGTGGCTCACACCTGTAATCCTAGCACTTTGGGAGGCCGAGGTGGGTGGATCACCTGAGACCAGGCCATCATGGTGAAACCCCATCTTAAAAAAAAAAAAAAAAAAAGGCAAAGTGTTGGAAACTTCGAGCGCAACAGTATGTCGTTCATAATTTTTTTTTTTTTTTGAGATGGAGTCTCACTCTGTCGCTAGGCTGGAGTGCAGTGGCAAAATCTCGGCTAACTGCAACCACCGTCTCCTGGGTTCAAACAGTTCTCCTGCCTCAGCCCCCTGAGTAGTTGGGACTACAGGCCTGCACCACTACGCCCAGCTGATTTTTGTATTTTTAGTAGAGATGGGGTTTCACCACGTTGGCCAAGATGGTCTAGATCTTTTGACATTGTGATCTGCCTGCCTTGGCCTCCCAAAGTGCTGGGATTATGGGTGTGAGCCACTGTGCCTGGCCAATATAATTTTTAAATTAAGGAATATGTTAGGCCAGGCGCAGTGGCTCATGCCTGTAATCCCAGCACTTTGGGAGGCTGAGGCGGGTGGATTGCCTGAGATTAGGAGTCTGACACTAGCCTGACCAACATAATGAAACTCTGTCTCTACTAAAAATACAAAAAATTAGCTGGGTGTGATAGCAGTGCCTGTAATTCCAGCTACTCGGGAGGCTGAGGCAGGAGAATCACTCGAAACCAGGAGGCAGAGGTTGTGGTGAGCCGAGATCGTGCCATCATACTCCAACCTGGGTAACAAGCGTGAGACTCCGTCTCAAAAAAAAAAGAATATTTTAATGATGTTTCATTTTACCTTTTACATTGACTTGGATTTTGGTTGCTTACATAGGAACCTAAGGCTTCAGAGCTATGCCAGCCTGATAGCCTCCAAGTTTATTTTATCAGTGTGCATAAGTATATGTGTATACTTTATGTGTATGTGTGTGTAAAATAATGTTATATGTATACATTATATATATAGTTAACGTTTTATTTTGTTACAAATTTGAAATTATTTGGAAGCTTGTTTTTTTTGTTTTTTTGTTTTATTTTTTGAGACAGAGTTTCGCTCTTGTTGCCCAGGCTGGAGTGCAATGGCATGATCTTGACTCACTGCAACCTCTGACTCCTGGGTTCAAGTGATTTTCCTGTCTCAACCTCCTGAGTAGCTGGAATTACAGGCATGCGTCATCATGTCTGGCTAACTTTGTTTTTTCAGCAGAGACAGGGTTACACCATGTTGGCCAGGCTGGCCTTGAACTCCTAACCTGAAGTGATCCACCTGCCTCGGCCTCCCAAAGTGCTGGGATTACAGGCGTGAGCCATGGTGCCTGGCCAAAGAAGCTTAGTATTAATGACTGCATAGTATTTCATAGTTGTTTGACATTTATGTTGTTTCTAAATTTTGCTCTGGAATGAATTCAACTTTTTTTTTGAGACAGAGTCTCACTGTCACCCAGGCTGGAGTGCAGTGGTGCAATCTCAGCTCACCGCAACCTCTGCCTCCTGGGTTTGAGCGATTCTCCTGCCTTAGCCTCCCCAATAGCTGGAATTACAGGCCCATGCCACCACACCCAGCTAATTTTTGTATTTTTAGTAGAGATGGGGTTACACCATGCTGGTCAGGCTTATCTCGAACTTCTGACCTGGTTATCTGCCTGCCTCAGCCTCCCAAAGTTCTGGGATTACAGACGTGAGCCACCGCACCCGACCTAGTTTACACTATCTTTAATAATGTATGAGTGAAAAAAGCAAAGCTCAGAGTGGGATGGGATCTCGTTTGCATAAAAATGAAGGATGGAATTAGGCTATATACTTGTAGATGCATAGAATATATTTCAAAGGATACAGTAGAATCAGTTAATAATGGTTGCTTTTCTGTGGGGGGGGGGTTGGGAATTTAGTGGAATGGAAATTTAGTGTGAACCTTTTTGTACTGTTTTGAGTTTTCTGCCTTTGGACATATTTTTCACTTAAAAATCTGATCATCAAAATAAAATTTCAGAAAAACAGCTATATGAATGTATTTGAATGTATGCACCCCTAATTTTCCTTTTACACATAAGGCCTATGGGAGATTTGGAATCTGGCATGAATTCTTATGCATGCACGTAAGCAGTAGGCATATGGTTAGACATAAGTAGCCCATGCTTTTTGTGGCTGTGACACTAGGGCATTATCAGGGTGGCAACCATAGCCATTTGACTGCTTTTTGATATAAATGATACAAAGGCCAATAAAATATCCTTCTGCGTAGATATAGCAACATTATACATTATAGTGCTAGTTGTAAGTAAGATGGTCCTAATGTGGTTGTGTGCTCTATCTCTAGTTAGAGATGTTTATGATTACTTCCGAGCTGTCCTACAGCGTGACGAAAGAAGTGAAAGAGCTTTTAAGCTAACCCGGGACGCTATTGAATTAAATGCAGCCAATTATACAGTGTGGTAAGTAATATATATCGTCAGTACTCCCTGCATAAATGTTTTACTTTAAGTGGCTTTTCTTTTTTAAGCTCTACATTAATTTTTTGGTTGGGGGGAAGGAGTTTTGCTCTTGTTGCCCAGGTTGGAATGCAGTTGGTACGATCTTGGCTCACTGCAGCCTCTGCCTCCTGGGTTGAAGTGATTTTCCTGCATCAGCCTCCCGAGCAGCTGGGATTACAGGCAGCCACCACCATGCCTGGCTACTTTTTTTGTATTTTTAGTAGAGATGGGGTTTCACTATGTTGGCCAAGCTGGTCTTGAACTCTTGACCTCAGGTGATCCATCCTCCTTAGCCTCCCAAAGTGTTTGGATTACAGATGTGAGCCACCAAGCCTGGCCTTTAATTTTTATCAAAATAGCGATTTGAGTATGGGTTTAAGAAGCTGCATGAAAATAAGTAGCAATCTCCAGCCCATTCCCTCCTACCATCAGTTCCACTCTGCAGAGGCAATAACTCTTAGGGATTTTTTTCTTGAATTAATCTCCATGTTCTAGATAATTTGCTTAATTGTTATTTTTTTTTTCATTTTAAACATTATTCCTTCTATGAAAGATCGTTCATTCTCCACTACCCTCTCTGTATCACAGATGAGCACTCAGTTTATGTTCATGCTGACCCACATTTTAAAGTGTAATTACATTCCTTCTAACAGAGTGTCATTTTTGTTTTGTTTTCTTTGTACTGACAGGTAATTTGTCTTCCAGATGCTCTGATATATGTGAAGTGTCATTTTTCTATTGAACACAGGTCATCCTTCAGTTCCATTTTTCTTTTCACTAGTTGGATACTGCATACCTGATCTTCAGCTCGTTCATGTGTTAGATCTGCTGTGTCCTAGATGCCATACCCTTCTCTTTCTTGATTTACTTTCTCATTTTATAGTGCACATCATGGAGTAGAAGGATGGAAAGTAATTTTTGAGATTTATACAATTAAAAATCAGTAGTCTCTCTTCAACTATAGTAATAGGATTCTAGATTGGAAATTATTTTCCCTGGGAAATTTAAAACTCTTTCTGTTTCTCTTAGCTTCTTTTCAGGTTGAGATTTCCATTCCTTTGTTTAAAACTTCTTTTTAAGTTCTGGGGATTTTTTTGTGTTCTTCTGATAATTTCTTCTCTCTTTCCTTTGTTTACTTTTTCTGGAATTCCTTTTAGTTGTATGTAGTATCTCCTGGATTACCTTTTCTTATATCCATTTCTTTGTCTTTTTATTTTCTTTTGAGATATTTCCTCAATTTTATTTTCTAACTCTTGTATGGATTTTTAAAGATTTCTACATTTAATTTGGGGGAGAAGTTTTTTGTTCTCTATTCTTTTTTAAAGTAGCATCGTGTGTGTGTGTGTGTGTGTGTGTGTGTGTGTGTGTGTGTGTGTGTGTGGTGTGTTTTAGAAGTACAGTTACCTTGGAGTTTATTTAAACTAAGAGAAAAAAGTCGTAATGCTTTCATGAAATATGTACTTGGTTCCTTAAATAACAATTATGTGACAGATAGGGGAAGGAATTAAGGAATGTTGCCCTTGTGATCCATACAAACCACGAACATTTTAGGTTGTACACAATTAAAGAAATATCTGGGTCGAACGTGATGGTTTATGCCTGTAATCCCAGCTCTTTGGGAGGCCGAGGGGAGCGGATCACAAGGTCAGGAGTTTGAAACCAGCCTGGGCAACACAGTGAAACCCCATCTTGGGATGCCTATAATTCCAGCTACTTGGGAGGCTGAGGTGGGAGAATCACTTGAACCCAGGAGGCAGAGGTTGCAGTGAGCTGAGATTGCGCCACTGTACTCGAGCCTGGGCAACAGAGCGAGACTCCGTCACCAAAAAAAAATTAGGTAATACTGGAAATACTTTTTAAAACACTGTAATAGCCAATACATAGAGGCAAGCCATAGGTGGGCACAGGAATGCAGTTTAGAAAAGAAAGAAAAAATCATATAGGAACTACTCAATTTCTTTAAAATCACTGAGCAAGAAAAGCAACAGTGAACTTTCTTTTTTTTTTTTTTCGTGTTTTAAAAAAGTGACATTTTTTTATTACTATCCGTAGGTAGGGCCTGCATGAGGTGGTTGGTGTGCTGGGCTCGGGATAATGTGTGGACTGTGGAGATGATGACAGAAAGGCAGGAAGGAAATGGGGTGGATTTGAAGGCCAGGCCCAAGGGGTCCTCAGGTCCGCTTCTTGGAAGGGACAGCCTTGAGGAAGGAGTCATGGCAGGCCATAGCTAGGCCACCAATCAGATTAAGAAATTCTGAGAAATCTAGCTGCCCATTATTGTTGGTGTCCAGTTTCTTCATCATACGGTCAAGGACACTGGGGTCCTTCTTGTTCTTTGTGAAGGCAGCCAGTTCTCTATTCATGATGCTTAGGAACTCCGTCTCAGAGAGAATGTAGTTAACAAGCATCCTTTCCAGCGTACTTCTGGAAAACAGTAGTTAGGGACTTGATGCACCACTCACCCTCTGTAGGGCTGGAGATTTTTGCCATGTTGAAGCTGAACGAGGCGTGTGGGAGGCTGTGGCTGGGAGCAGCGCTGAGAGCTCTGGGCACGGCATGCAGGTCTGGAGCCTCTCCCCGACGCACCAAAACATTGAACTTTCATATTGATTTTACACAATTCCTATATAGTACCTTGAGCAAAAGTTAAGACTCTTCTCTATTTTTGGTAAATGACTGCATGATAAACTTAGATGACTTTTTCCTCTGGATTTTACCTGGAAGTGGCTTCTTAAAATTTTTATTTAAAAGAGGGCAGGCTTGCCACTTTTATACTGATGTCACCAATGTTAATATTTCTTGGGATCTCAGGAAGATTCGTATTCTTTACAGCTGATACAGCGCTTCCGCTAAGCCGGCCTCAGATTTTTCTAGCTTATTTTCTGTATCAATTTGTGTAACAATCTCATTCATGTTAGTCTCTAATAGCATTCCCCCCATCACCATTTCTGCAAGAATATTGTGCACCTTGTCTACATGGAAGATCAAATCCAGTTCACAGACATTTTTAAAACATTTGTCTAATGTTTCCACAAATACGTGAATTAGATCTAAAATGTCAAGTTCACTTTCTGAAGAATCAACACAGAAGACAAAATATTAGCATTGCATAATGTCTATAAATCAGTTTGTTGTTGGATCCTCCAATTAATAATCTTCCTTCTAGGAAATTACAAACATTTTCATCTCTCTTAGATACCAAATAGAAAGTCCCCCTGATGATTTGCTGTTGTGTATCTTCACTGTTGGGCTGGTAGAACTTGGAGAGCCTCGGCTGCCCGTGGTTGTTGAAGATTAGGATTGCCTTGATCATGGCTGGGCACTGGGGGCGAGGGCGGGGGCAGGTGGAGTCTCGCCAGAGATCCTTCCCCACCCATCCCCTCCTTTTTTTTTTTTTTTTTTTTTTTTTTTTAATTTCATGGGTATGAGATCTTTTCATCTCTTTTGGCCTCTTTCATGGTTGGTAATTCTTGACTTTCTCTTTATGCTTATAAGAGAGACAGGAAAAATCCTGACTGAAAGCCGTGTCTGTGGCAGGATTTATCAGCCAGAGGGCTTCTCTGTGAAGTGAAGTCCTTACTGAGTGGGGATGTGGCTGTGTCGTAGTGAAATCTCACTTGTCAGTATTTAAATCTTTTCTCTTGGACAGTGTCTCTCAAAGAGGATTAAGTAGTTTATTGCTTAAGGAGTGTACGTTTGGCTGCCACAGTTCTGTGGGGTCAGGCAGGGGAAAGTGGTAGGAGAGTCTTACTGTTTAGGATATCAACTTTTTGCAGATCTTACCTTGTCATTTGAAATACAAACTTTTTTTTTTCTAACTTAGTATATCAACATTTTAAATGTCCTTGTTTCCACCCTTTAACTTACCCTGCCTTCTAGTGTGCCTGGTAACACATTCTGCTTCATATTTTTCCAGAGGATAAAGCCACTTGTCTCCTGCCCAAGACAGAGGATGTGACTTCTGCTCAGGGGAGTGGGAAGGGTCTTGACTGCCAAGGACTCTTTTTCTATAGTCTTTCTACTGCTTTTAGTCCCACCTTTGACCCCCAGTTTTGGAAATATGTCATACCTCTGATTTCTGGAATTTTCTTACAGTCTTATTCTGTGTTTTAGTCAGTTAAATCTTGTCTGTTTGCTTAAACTTCCCATAATGTTGTTGACCTCTTCCAGTTGCCGTGGTGTCTTTGTCCCAGATTCTCTTTGTTCTTGTGGGTTTATTCCTTTGTTGTCATTTTAGTGGGGTTTTATTAGGGAGTAAGAATAAACTCGTTTACTTAATCCAGCCTGTTTAACCGGAATTCTCAGTGTGTTTCATCATTCTTGGAACTTAGAATACACTTAAAGATTGCCTGCAAGTTTATTGATGTGGAAAAAAGCAGTATACCTGGAATCATTACCCATAAAAGCAGCCAAGGGCTTATATTTACAGACTCCGTGAAGTCTACTTCAAAAAAATAATAATGGAGAGAAATGCTATTGTCTCTCCTACTTTGCAGTTCGTTTTCTTTTATTCTTACTATTTTTGAGACAGAGTGTCACGCTGTTGCCCAGGCTGGAGTACAGTGGTGTAATCTCGGCTCACTGCAACCTCCGCCTCCTAGGTGCAAGCAATTCTTGTGCTGCTGAGTAGCTGGGATTGCAGGTGTCTGCCAGCACATCCAGCTAATTTTTGTATTTTTAGTAGAGATGGGGTTTCACTATATTGGCCAGGCTGGTCTCGAACTCCTGACCTCAAGTGATCTGCCTGCCTTGGCCTCCCAAAGTGAGCAGTTCATTTTAAAAGCTAATAAAATTAGGTCCTGGAATGCCCTTTACTTAGTAATTGGAAATTTTGAAGTAAAAATACGCCAGAACTAACTTTTTAGGAAAAATTTTTTTGTTGTTGGTTCTCCACCTATGGGGAAATTAAAGAGAAACTTGTTTCATTTATAAGTAACATTTTTGTGGTGGTTCTACAAGTAAATATTTTGTTAATGTTTATAATAGAATTATTATATGAATAATGTATCTACAGAAACAAGCTGTACTGTATAGGGAAACAGATGTCTTTGATTCTCATATTATAGAACACCAGTGACCAGAGTAGTACCTGAAAATAATTTTAGTTGGTTTTCTATCATTACTTAAGATTTAGAAATTTACTTTTCTTCTATCTCATACTTGTTACCTTTCACTGTTTTTACTAAATGTGCTGATTTCTTTTAGTCAACCAGGTAGTTGTATGAATTTGGACACCCACAAGCCGTTTTATACAGAGTACCTCTGAATAATTTTTTTTTTTTTTTGAGATGGAGTTCCCCTCAGTTGCCCATGCTGGAATGCATGGCACAATCTTGGCCAACTGCAGCCTCCACCTCCTGGGTTCAAGTGATTCTCCTGCCTCGGTCTTCCTGAGTAGCCAAATTACAGGCGCATGCCACCACGCCCAGCTGATTTTTCTTTTTGTATTGTTAGTACAGGCGAGGTTTCACCATGTTAGCCAGGCTGGTCTTGAACTTGACCTTAGGCGATCTGCTCACCTTGGCCTCCCAAAGTGCTGGGATTACAGGCGTGAGCCACCATGCCCAGCCTGTAATTGTTTTTTTTCTTTTTTGAGACTCCATCTCAAAGTGCAGTGACGCTCTGAGTACAGTGACGCAATCTTGGCTTACTACAACCTCCATCTCCCAGGTTCAAGCAATTCTTCTGCCTCAGCCTCCCAAGTAGCTGGGACTACAGGCATGTGCCACCATGCCCGGCTAATATTTTTAGTAGAGACAGGATTTCACCATATTGGCCAGGCTGGTCTCGAACTCCTGACCTTGTGATCTGCCCGCCTTGACCTCCCAAAGTGCTGGGATTATAGCCGTGAGCCACCACGCCCAGCCATGTAATTGTTAAATTATACAGAATACCTGCGAAAAATTTGTCTAACTGTATTGCTAACTTGTAGCTGTGTTTGATGTTGTTACTAGGCAACTTCTCTGGAATAATACGACTTTGGCTTTTTTATATTTGCCCTAGGCATTTCCGGAGAGTTCTCTTAAAGTCACTTCAGAAGGATCTACATGAGGAAATGAACTACATCACTGCAATAATTGAGGAGCAGCCCAAAAACTATCAAGTTTGGTAAGATGAAAATAGGAAGAAAGGATGTCACGATGCTAATATTAATAGTACTTGCTAATGGATGATGAGATCATTGGGAAATTTTTGTTTTCTTTGTGATTTGAGTCCTTTACATTGGAGCTACTGTTAAGTGCCTCATAGGATTGTTAGGATGATTAAAGAAAATAACTTGTTTAGCGCTCAAAATGGTGCCTGACCTGTAGTTAACACTTGAATGTTAGCTGCCATTATTATTATTTTTTTTTTTTTTGAGACGGAGTGTCACTCATGTTACCCAGGCTGGAGTGCAATGGCGCGATCTCGGCTCACCACAACCTCTGCCTCCTGGGTTCAGGCAATTCTCCTGCCTCAGCCTCCTGAGTAGCTGGGATTACAGGCACACACCACCATGCCCAGCTAATTTTTTGTATTTTTAGTAGAGACGGGGTTCCACCATGTTGACCAGGATGGTCTCGATCTCTTGACCTTGTGATCCACCCACCTCGGCTCCCAAAGTGCTGGGATTACAGGCTTGAGCCACCGTGCCCGGCCAGCTGCCATTATTATTTCAAGTTTCAATGCTGTATGCTGTACTGCTGGAGTCAGAAAAAAATTAGAGTATGTTTGAAAAATTTGAAAAATGTTTTTGTTTTGAGACGGAGTTTCACTCATGTTACCCAGGCTGGAGTGCAATGGCGCGATCTCAGCTCACCGCAACCTCCGCCTCCTGGGTTCAGGTAATTCTCCTGCCTCAGCCTCCTGAGTAGCTGGGATTACAGGCACGCACCACCATGCCCAGCTAATTTTTTGTGTTTTTAGTAGAGACGGGGTTTCACCATGTTGACCAGGATGGTCTCGATCTCTTGACCTTGTGATCCACCCACCTCGGCCTCCCAAAGTGCTGGGATTACAGGCTTGAGCCACCGCGCCCAGCTGAAAAATGTTTTCTGTTTAGTGTAAGAAATTAAGCCCCTAGGCTAGCACGGATAAGAGTATGGGGATTGTTACGGGTGAAGGTAGCGGAACACAGTAGGGAAAAAGAGGCGTTACAGAGTAGGCAGAGAACAAATGAGAAAGAGTTTGAACAGTTGCCAGTGTGCATAGCAGCTGGAATTGCTGCAGTGGTGGTGTGGTGTGTGATGTGGTGTTGTGTGGTGTGATGTCGTGGTGCGCTGTGGTATGTCGTGGTGATGGTGTGAGATGGTGGTGGTATGTTTGGTGGTGGTGATGTATGGTGTGATGTGAGGTGCTATGGTGTGTGGTGGTGTGATGGTGTGTAGTGGCATGGTGTGGTATGCTAGTGGTGTGTGATGGTGTGTGATAATGTGGTTTGGTGTTTGGTGCTATGGTGGTGTGATGTCTGGGGGTGTGCTGTGGTGGTGTGGGGTGGTGTGGGGTGTGTGGTGGTGTGATGGTATGTAGTGGTGGTATGGTGTGGTATGGTGGTGTGTGATGGTGTGTAGTGGTGGTATGGTGTGG